TTCTTCTTTCTCGTGTAATTCATGCTGATGTAAAAAGAAAGGCACACACCCTAAAATACCTGTTTCTCTCAACATCAGAATTTCTGGAAAGAGGAAAAAGAAGGAAAAAGGCTCGTTGTTCTCAAAGCAGTGAATGCAGGAATAGACATAAAAACATATCTCAAAGAACACAATTTGAGCTGATTTCAGGAGACTCAACATAAAAGGCAGAAAAAAAGGCTGAGTGTCTCCACTTGTGGATGTGGAGGTGGTGGCTAGAGTATTCTCAGCTGGTTTGGTGGAGATGCCCATCAGTTCAGTGTGTTTGCAGTGCCTCATGTTCCACCCAAACCAACAACAGCCCCTGAGAAGACAGCAGCTGAAGAACACCTGTACCTGGATGCACAGAGAAGCTATTTTTGACTGAGGATCAGAATTTCTCCTGCTGAGAAGCTGCAGGTGTGCTCTTATCCAGAAGGACAACCAACATCAGCGCTTTAAACAGGGACAGCAGAGACTGGGGTGGCACTTCTGGCCTGAAATGAGCATGAGAAGAGCTGGAAGGAAAGACAGGGCTCTTGGACTCACTGGGAGCCCACAGACTAGACGAAGGTCCTTGGACAGACTAGGGCCATATGAATCCCTACTGGCAAACCCCACCTAGTGAGGGTTGTGAGTGCACCAGCAAGTGCTGCAACTCTGCCCCCACAGCCTTGGGTGCTCAGCTGCCTGTGTTCAGGGTCAGCTCTAATATAGTGGAGCTATGGCCTTGGATCAGATTGCTCTAGAAACTGCTATGTTGGAGGAAATGATAAATAAGAAGGAAAAAAAAAAACCTGAAAAGCCTCATCTCAGTCTCTACCCTTTGGACCTGCTGCTCAGAATGGCTTAGGATTCAGTTCCCTATCCCTTCTTCCCCCACTTCCCATTTCATGGTCATTAGCTTTAAATTAGCACTTTCACTGGCATGTTTGGAGCTCTTGGCAAGTAAATCACTTGCTGATAAACTTGATGCTAAGTGCTTGCTGGTAAAGAAGATGGGAGCCTTGAAGAATCTTATCTATTGATACTACAGCACTGATACTACACCTGTCACTACATATGGCTGATGATCTTCTCCAGGTAGGGCTTTGAGATATTCCCAGGCATGAAAAACTTTGAGCTTTCAGATCACTGGGATGAACCTTCCAACCAGGCAAGGAGTTGACAGTGAATATTAAACAGTGCAGCGAAGACGTTTTGCCAGTGACAAATAAAACCCTGAACTTTCTCCAGCAGTGACAACTGATGAAGGGATCAGGAGAGCTGGTACACTGACCAACTCCGTGCTTTGCCTCTTCAATATCACCAAACCCAAGTCAAAGTCAGAACTCCAGAGGTTTAGCTGGCTCAAAGGAAAATTTTCCACATGTATCTTCAGATCCAGAGCTCCTTCTACACCAAGAACTAAACTGCACCAGAGGTTAGGGCTTGGCATTCCTTTCTGCTGTCTGTATTGTGAAACTGTTTACACAGTTCCTGGTGTGGTTTTGCCCCATGTGAGCCACCACAGTCCCAGACAATACTTGGTAACATTTTAGTGCATAATTTAGGCCAGAAACAATTCAAACAGTCAATTGGGTTGCACACAAATGGGTCTAGAGATGAAAGAGTTTAACCACATGGATGTGAGATATGTCTTGCCAGCTGGACCCAGGAATAAATCATGAGTACCACCCATTTGATTTACTAATAGAATGATTTTTTTTTCATGATCTGAAACTCCATCCAGCTGCCTCTTTTGTAAGCCTGTTGCTGATGCAAAGTGAAGCAATTAATCTTTTCACCCTCAGTATGAGCAATATCACCTTTTTGAAAAGTCTGGATGCTGCAAAGCAGTTGGGCAGCAGAGCTCTCTACTGGCTGTTGTTCTGACTTGTGGTTAAACAAATAAAATTTAACCTGTGCAACTCCAGGTATGATGCTAAACACCTACAGGTGTGGAGTAACAGACCTGACAGCATTTCACTGAACATGTGCTAATGAAGAAAGATGGGAATGGAAAGGAAAGACAAGATGGCTTTGACATCTCAAGCAAATCCTCAAAATGCTTGTTTTGGTGCTAATGGCCATGCCAAGGTGCTCAAGCACAAAGCACGGTGGTACTGTCAGTACTGGCCACTTCTAATAGATTCATGCTGTTCTTGAAGAGCTCACGGTGACTGAAGAGGAGAGAACATTGTGAGCTTTAAAGGAGTTGAGGCGGCAGTGGCACATTGTTCCGTCCCTGGAGAATAAGAGGATAACTTGCTGGAAGTGGTGAATCAAATTAATCCTTTTCAAAGTGTAAGAATTTGGTTTAAGCATTGAAAAAGGACCCTACAAAAGGGTGCTGTACTTGACAATTAAATGAAAATGCACAGAAAAACTTCAAGACAGCATCCAACCTATGTTATGTATATAAGCCCTACAGAAGTAGTCTTGTATTTGGTAGAGACAAAAGCATTTCTCAGGAATGTGGTCTGATCCCAAACAATGGAAGGAGCGGCTAAGTTCACCAGAGTAGAAAAATCGCTTCCATGAGTTATAAACAGTCTGTCAGAAAAGTTGTGGTCATGTGGGGCATGAAGAGCCAAAGCCCAAGAGGATTTAGACAAATCTGAATCACACTGTTCATGACTCTCTGTCCCCAGTCACTGTCCTTTCCAACTTTGCCAAATTACCTCAGAGCTTGATCAGATTGTCCATGTGCCTATTTGGAAAGAGTGACCCATCTTCTTAGAGTCGAGTTTCCATATTTACCCATATAAAGTGCCATGAAAAAGAAGAGTCCTTTTAGAAAAAGTTAATTTGGAAATATTTGCATAATTGTACATCTTAAAAACTTATAAACTCCAAGTGTATGGATTTCTTCAGATAGACGCCTTTTTTTATAATATATCAATGGATGTACAGGTTTTCTCATACATATGCCATCCTTCATATGCCGTTTATAGCTGCACAGTTCTTACAGTTTTAACAGATCATGTGTTTGCCAGTTCTGATGCACAGATTAACGTAAAAAATAAACCATTTAAAAAAGAAACAAATCAGTCACCAAACACATAAACTATGCCAAGGAAGAAGTTAGCCTTGGAGGAGAACGAGTTTGTTTACTTTTCCCCAAGTACCACAACTCTTACTTTGAATCATGACTGCTTAAATACCTTGTTTCTGATTGCACGCTTAGACAAGGAGTGCTTCTGCAACTAATGAAGCACTTTTGCTAGGCATTAAATAAACGTGCACTCTGTCAATGGCATGTGTTGCTGGAAAGCTGCCAGTTCAGATCTCTCTCTGGGACACAGATGCCTGCACTTCTCCAAACTTCTCCCTTAAATCTCCAGATTGATGCTCCCTGAAATCGTAGCAAACCCCTGAGCTCTACTCAATGCACAAAGCTCGCTTTGTTGAGCAGCAAGCAAGAGAATATGTGGGTTGTGCCAGATATTGGCTGTGCTGTTTAACACCATCCACAAAGAGGCACCTGCACTACGGTGATGATGGCAAATAAAATGGAGAGCAATACTGATAAAGAACAGCATTTCCTTTAACAACCCTGCTCTGGAAGGAACCAGCCCTTTGAGGGCTGGCAGCCAGCTGGCAAGGATAATTTGTCACAGGAGCACACAGCATTAGGGCATTGGCTTGTGGGCTCTCCAGTTACAGGTATTTACATAGCTCAGGAGTGATGATCAGCTGTGCCAAGGGTAATGTTACAGACACGGCTGAGCTGCTCTAACAGCTTGTTGCTACAAAAAGAAGTGACTTGTTATCACTCCGTTCCTGGCACCAAATTCTTCACTTGCCTTGAGCTCTGGAACTTTTCTTCACACATGGTAAAACGATTTGATTCGCTAACACCAGAGAAAATATATTCCTATTTTTGCTGGTTGTTTCTCTGTTGGTTTGGAAAGCTGAATCAGGCAGGTGCAGAACTGGATGATTTTCAGGCTCTGTGCAAAGAGGCAGGTGAGACCATGTGGTAAGAAGCAAGACTGGGGAAGAGTACGACCTTCCCATTTCAGCACAGCGAGTTCCTGAGGGGCTTTGAACTTATAAATAGCTCAGAAGTAAAAAATATTGCACATCTAAATAATGATCATTTTATTGTTAGTTTCATTCAGTGCTGCAAACACAGTTCTGTGCAGGCTGAAAGATCTGTGACAAATCCTCTCTATTGTGTCTTCACACACATCCCAGCCACCTTCACCTATAAAGACCTACTCTGGAGCAAACATTAAGAAATCAGTAAAGATGTAAACAGACTCCAGCTACAAACAATTCTGGTTACAAACTGAGCCTTAAAGCAGTCACACAGACTGCACGGAGGTTTTGCTCTGAAAATCCAAAATCCACAAATACTCTTCTGCATGCCTTTACCAGCAGAGGAGTCCTTTGAAGCAGTTACAGCCAGATTCCAAAAATTATTGTTTACTCATAACTTCAAAGAAAAATGTAGTTTTATTAAGGTTAACATGTTTTCTCAGCAAAACAACTCATCTTTCTGAGGCTGAATAGTTACACAAAAATTATAAAGCAATAAACTACATTTTATCTCTATCTTACAATAACTCAGATGATTTCGAATCTGGAAAAATTTAAATATTGACTTAAATCGTTAAGACTTCTTTTTTGTTTTGGTTTGTGTCTGTAATTAATCAAATACAGCAATAGTGCTTATCTCTTGGGAAAAGGGTAAGATTTTTTAAAAGAAATAACGGCAGAGCCACAGAACCAAAAGGAATTCACATGATGGTGGCATCTCCAGCTTCTAGAAGAAGAAAGCTCTTCCAAAACTGTCAGATCTATTCATACTCTAATGTTACACTGCAGAAATTCCGGTAAAATCCTGGATTTTACTCAAAAGAGGAAATTTCTTTTGGTTAAATTAAAAAAACAATTTTCACATGGTCATGAGGAAGTTCTTTAAAACTTGGAGTGAAAATCTGAATAAACAAAAAAACTTCGAGCTTATTTAATGTTATACACTTGTGATTTACCCACAACATTCTGGTAAAGGTTTATTGACTGTTCAGATTCCTGATCGTGACATCTGCCAAAAGCTTGTAAAAGTAAAAGGAGATTCACAAATAAAAAGTCCTACATATGAGCAGGCATTAAACAAGATTCCATTTTTTTTTTACTTGAAATACTATCAGAATACATAATAAAAGAATTAATACTATCCCAAAAGCATGTGGGACATTTCCACTTTCTAGGAAGAGCAAGTTCCAAACCCACTGTTGGGTGTCGTACAACGATCAGTGTCACCACTTTGGTGACAATTACTCACAAACCCCAAAGATTTCTTCTATGTGTATTGAATGAATATTCTTTTCTGTCCTACAAAGACTGAATTTAGAGGACACAGATCTCTGATTTTCATAATTTCTTTCCTTTACTCCTTTTCTATGGCTTTTTATGGAAAAACATTAGTGATGCCAGCCTACCTCATGAAGCAATTTCCTGATTAGTACTTTTATGTAAAAATAGTGAGCTGGTGTGTAGGCTGCGGAACAGTTATTCCATCTTGACAATCAATCATCCAAATTAAAATAAGCCAACTTCATTATTATCTGAGAAAATAAGAAGTAATTAAAAATGAAGTATTTAGATAACAATTGTAATAAGTATCAAGAGCCTCTTATTTTCTCTCTACTGAGTTCTATCATAGAAGACAGAAACAGAGCAAATCAATTTTTTCCAAAGCAATTTCAATCTACTTTTATAATTAAATCAAAGATAGATTTCCCCATTAGCACAACTATTGCAGTATCCGAGTAATTATGAATAATCAGCCGAGGACATTCCTTACTGATTTTTCTTGTGCATCATTAACTATCTGAAGTGACAGGGCTAACATAATTTCTGTCATGAATAAACAACTAGAGGAAATACGGAGGAAGTCAAGTACAAACAATAAGGAGGTGACCACTCTTTGAAAATCAGAGCAATCCTGGAAAACGTTCATAGCTGTTCTATTTAAATGAAGCTGCATGTGCTTGCAAGACATTAAAGCTTGTGACATGTTGCATATCATTAATTCTCAGTAAAAGCGTAAATTGAATTCATACCTAATTCAGTGCAATTTTCTGCCAGTTAATGGCCCTGAGAATCAAACATTCACAAATGTAAATGGGAGTTTTTCCAAACCAATACTTTATGGGCTTTAAGAACCATCTTTTGCTGCAAGTAGAAAACCATGCCTGACCAATTTTCCTTTTTGTTAAGTGTGACCTGATTTTTACATTTGTAATATGATGCTCTCTTCTGATGATTTACTGTATTACATATGAATTTTAAAATATTTTTCAATTTGATACATTTTTTAAAATAGATAAATAAGGACATAAGTGGCTAGTGTGGGTGGATTTTCTTTTTATGTTTGTATTCCTCTTCGGTTCTTACTCCATTTTAATGTGAGAAATGCAATTTAAGAATTCCCCCTGGTAATTTTATGGTCTTGAAAAAATAATAAATACTTCCTTTTCTATATTTTTTGAGGATGTGACACCAAAAGAACAATTACTCTCACCTTGTATATAGAAACTACGAATGAGAGGTTGATAGGGATTTTAAAAAATGCTGTCTTTATTATCTGTTGGATAGCTTTCAGTATCTTTTACATGGTCCTTCTGATCCTGGTGGTGCTGGACAATAATCAGTGCTGCCAGCTTCTGCTGAGGAGAAATTGAGCCTGGTTGCCCCAAAGGGTCATTTATCTGTGTTCTCTGTTGTATTTCAAAAACCTGCAGCAACAATGAAGAGTGTAAGGGGGATTCCTGAAAACGAAATTACAGTTGCAACAATTTCAGACAGTTTTTCAGAGCAGTTTCTTTCATGTCTATGTGTTGTTTGGGTATCCACTGAGGAGCAGACATCTGCCTCGAAATTGCCTTTTTCTGGTCCAAACCAGAGACCTCAGTTCACTGACTGGCTGGAGAGGAGCTCTGCAGAAAAGGATCTGAGAGTCCTGGTGAACAATAAATTGGACACGAGTCAGCAGTGAGCCCCTGCAGCAAATGAAGCCAGCCATGTGTTGGGCTGAATCAGCTGAAGTGCAGCCAGCAGGTCCAGGGAAGCAATTCCCCCCCTGCATCCAGCAGCTGTTACACTGCATCCCTGCAGTGCTCTGTCCAGTTCTGGGCTCCCCAGTGCAAGAAAAAAAAGTTCATGTACCGGAACAAGTCCATTAGAGGGGCTATGATAATAATACGGAGGCTGAAGCCTAAAGAGTTAATCAGCTCATACTCTTTAGAGTCCCTCGGGAGTGACTCATAGGCTTATAAAGGCTTTTAAGTCCCCCGGAGTATCTGACACATCGCAGGGCTGACAGTCTGACATGGGCCAGGGAAACCGGCTCTAGGCAGCCCCTGCTTGAGCAGGGCTGGGGTTGGACAAGGTGACCTCCAGTGTCTCTTGCAAGCTTGACTATTCTATGGGAGACCCACTCACTTCCAAAGCTTGGAGCTGACTGAATCCAGACACTATTCAAGTTATTTCAGCGTGCTGGTGACTGCACTACTGCCCCACTGCTGTCAACCCAGCTAAGCTGCTCCTGCATCCAGCAGCACGGCTTAAGTGCTGGAAGATTTCCAAGGGCTCTGTTTGTACAGGAAATACCTTTGCCTACCAACCCGAGCAGTTCTGATAGCACTGGCACACTGGTACAGTAATGGAGACAAAAGAATAAACTGCTCAGTCTCTGCAAGCCTCAGTAATAAGAAAGACTTTTAAACTTGACTACATTGAATTTAGTTGCGCTCTAGAGCTTTGGATACACCGAAACTCTCTTTACCAGTGGAGCATCAATATGTTATTTATATTCAATGAAAATTCTCTCTTGTAAATACAACAGGGAGCTCGAAACACACTAGCACAACAAAATCCACAAAATCCTGAGCCCTTGTCTCAGCCTGGCAGCTTTTAAATGTAGAAATATCTTTCTTTTTAAAAGATTCAATTCTTTACAGATTCTGAAGAGGTGATACTATTAACAAGGTGATGATCATTTAAATTGTTTATGTATGAGGCAAATATGAAAACATTGTCTTTTCACTGTTAGGGAGACAGCTGCTTTCAGAATTTCCATTTATGAGCATCTCGTGTACCTTCCAAGAAGTATAAATAAATATGACTGAAGGTCTTGACAGATTTACTAATCTTTGCCAGTGAAGTGGATTATACCACTGTGGCTAAGCTTTACCACCTGTTCCAGAAAGGCACAAGCATCATGTTATTTATGTGTAACAATCAACAATCTTGTTCAGGTTCTCAAGTACCCTGAGGCATCTCAGCTGCCACTGAAAACCTGTGTTTAGGCAAATTAATTAGGCCTGTAGGCACTATATGGAGATGTTAATGTTGACCTGACCACCCCAGTCAGCACCATTCCACCAAGGACAATGACACTGCCATCAAGTAGCTCCCAACTCATCAGCAAATTCACTTTGCTCAGAACAGATCAAGCAACAAAGGGCATCTTTTGAAGAAAGTTCAGCATCTTTAAAGGATTGAAAAAGATCCTTGTACACTGGACATGTAAAATCTTTAATAAAAGCTACAGCCAAGGATTGCCTGTTTTTCTCCACTGATTGAAAAAAAAGAGAAATCTACAACTAATTCAGCTGCAGCTTTTCAGACTGTATCTACATATCTAAATGTAGAACAGCACACATTTCACATTTACATAGGAACCTTTAGAAAAGACTGATATTGCAGGCAAGCTGTAATCGCTAAGCATAGAAAGAGCTTTGAAAATTAATCATTTAAGGCTTACAGTTCTCTGCAGAATCTACCAGTTCCACATTACATTGTTTTAGTTCTATTACCATGAATGATAAATGATATTTCTTTCAAAATTCAGTGTCTGCAAGAGCAAAAAGACCTCATAGAGATATCATTGTGTGGAAATGCCACAACACTGCACTATTTGTAGTGGCTTAAAGCACTTTAACAATCATAATATATTTCTTATGATCTGCCTGTTATTATGGTTTTAACCTTGCATTACCAATTAGCTGTTTTTTATAATTTACTGACTTTATTATAAAATTCCTCTTTTGACAAAGTATTTGAAAGAATGCCTAAAATACAGCTCTTAGACATTTAATAGCAATAATACAATCATATTTTCACTGTCTAATACACAATTAACAGAATAAAATTTAAAAAAGTAAGATTTCGAAAAGTATTTATTAAGAAACTTGACAACAATTTTCACCCACCAGTTATGGAGTAGCCAGTTTTCACGACATGAATGTGCCACCTTTGTTCAGTGTCACATGGGACCGGACAGTCTGTTTTAGGAAACTTTTTTGAATGCAACTGTTTCCTGTACAACACAACTAACGAGGAGCGGATAATCACAGAGAAAACACACAGGAAGAAGAGGCTGGAAAATCTTCTTGGACCTTATTGTTAGAAGGTCAGGATTTGCCTCTTAGTGGAACAGTCTGTAAGACCTGTTTAGAAAGCCTTTTAATTCCAGGCTCCTTGCCTCTGGCATATAACTACATCAAAGTCATTCCAAAGTTACAAACAAATGTAAGTAGACTTGATAAAGCAGTTTTACCTCAACCATTATTTTATTTTCCCACTGTAGAAAAAAAAACCCCAAAAACCAACAGTCTTGCTCATCAGAAAATGTTTTGGAGTAATGTAAATATATCCACTAAAAAAAAAAGAATAAAATTTAATTGTCCCAGATTTTATAGGAAACAAGAAATGGAATCTGAATAATTATAATCTGCACAGTATACATTAGGTTTTTGCATATTTATACGTTCTTTTATTTGGATAAAAATCTGATGATCTCATTTTACCTTTTTAATAGTGAGGACTTCTGCCTTGCTACGGATGAAATGCCATTGATGTACTCCCTCCCTAGATCCAGGAGACATTTCTAGCCTTTTGTCGAGTCCTTCATCGTTTTTATCCATTAGCCATTAAAACATTCCTGCAAAATACAATTCATTAGTCTCTATGTTATTCCTGCTTCTTTTATTTTCCAGCTTTAAACCACCTTCACCATCTAGAAATAAATATTCCAAGAAAAATGTGCTAAATGTGTTAAATTTTGAAAAGTCATGTAAAAGGAAAAGCAGTGAAATGAAAAAAACCTCCTAATACTG